AAATTTTGTCATAAGCCATGCTTCTGAATTACTTTTATAAAAATTTAGTAGTCTTATTATATGTTGTGAAATACCTTTTCAAATATGTAGTAACTTACCTCTTAAGTACTCAAATAAGCATCACCTGTATTTGAGTAACACGGTAGTCAACGTGTAATTACAGTTTAAAATTTTCCTACCATTCCGAGTCCAGTATTAAATATTGTAAAAAACATGCTCGATATATTGAACTTTGAAAAATATGTACACATGCAAAATTAGTAAATTGAAATAAATAGCTACTATTATCTGCTGATTGATTTCAACATTCTGTAGATAGAACTGCTCTGTTTTGATATATTTTCGAGTATAAACCATGGAGTTAAGAAGTAGTAGAGTTAGTTTCTCTTTAATCTCCAAGAAAAAAAACACGCCAACGGTCAACCCCGCATGCGTGTACTACACATGTGTTTTAGTACTCGTATATGATTCTCACACGTGGATTCATACGTTTTACAGTTAACTAAACACTATCTACCGACTGTAAAAAAATAAATATTGGACATATAGATTATAATATTTTTAAAATTTCTTTTCTCTTATAACTTTCTTCTTTTTCACTATCTATGAGTGGAATAGAACTTATAACACATAAAGTTAGCCAAACAAAATTTTTTCGCCAATTCATGAAATCACTAATAAGCTGGAAAGTTTCTGGAAAAACCAGAAAGTGCCAATAAAAATATCACAATCATCTGAACTTTTCTAAAGCTGAAATTTTGCTTGAACCTATTTTATGTTTTAACACAAATTTTAACTATATACTGGAATAAGATGATTCATATTGTTATGTTTTTCTTTTTTTTTCTGATTTTCATTTATATTTTATACATTCTGAACTCTCCACACGATGCCTCGAGATACACACGATTATAGCTCTCGACTCAGTACAGTCTAAGAAAAACTCGACTGCCTAATTGCGATGCACTAAAGACTCTTCGAGAACCGACACACCTCGGCGCTAGACTTCGAGACAAAATTTTGACCATTTATGTTTTAACAAATTTTAACTTATACTGAATAAGATGATCATATTTATGTTTTCCTTTTTTTCTGACCAGTTGCTGCAGTTTTTTCTGACACGTTATTCTTCCTTCACGTTCGTACGGGGTTTTCGGGATTTGAGTGAAAACGACGCCCTTGATGAGTTGAACACACTTTATTTGCCAGTAATGTCAGGCAGCTCCAAACCGTTTTACAGTCGTCGTTGAACTAAAACACGCTGACGCGTTCAGCGACACAGCCTTAGGTTAGGCTATCACGGAGGAGACAGTTCACTGACCAAGCACCCGAGTTTCGGAGTACAGCTCCCGATTCTGCTTGGTAGTTCTCGGAACTCCACGTACTCTCGAGACTCTCCACACGATGCACTCGACGATACACAAGAGTATAGCTCTCGACTCAGTACAGTCTAAGAAAAACTCGAAGATGCACTAATTCGCGATGCACTAAAAGACTCTCTCGATGCACTCGACGACCACCTCGGCGCTAGACTTCGAGACACTCGCTCAATGACTGACTATCAGCTCGCTAGACGAGGCGCACACACTAACTGACTGCGGACCAGCAGAGTTTATATAGCTTTCGGCTTGTGTTCGGGAACATTCTGGGCTAAACCGGTAAGAATTCGTTCCAGAAGGTTCTCCAACAGTCCATGGTATATCGGAAATTTTGTCGCCAAATGGGCGATTTATCGCCAAATGTGGCAACCCTGCCCTCCTTTGTCATTTTATGGCAACCCTAAAACTGCTTTGCGGGAAGGTATATCACCGCGCCTGTACATTTCGTAACAATATATTAAGGACAGTTTAAGTTTTCTTACACAGAATTTATTAAATTATTATTATTGAATATCTTTTCCGTGTTTCGGTAATTTTGACGATGTAACATGAGAATTGTTTTTGAAAAACAGTTATGGTGTCATTGCTGTTCAGAATTCAAACGCCAATATATATATTTTGAATACAAAAATAACAATTACTATAATTTCCAGTGTGCTTTTTTGCCACTCTCATGACTGCTGCCAACTTTCTGGCTGGAGGTTTTATTTCACAATGAGCGGTCTATTATTATTACTGATGGTTGATAACCATCAAAAGGTTCAAAAACGGCAGAGTTGCCAACTTTAATTCAAATTAAAATTCTCTTGCTTTATTTAAACTCACTTAATTTGCATTTCTGGTGGAATAGTCGATACAGCAGAAGTGTAGAAAAGATTCAGTATGAGAAATAATGTAATAATTAAAACTTATACAGTTAAGATTTATTTCAAGATTCGTCAAAGATTCGGTTTCGAGAAAATAAAAATTCCTCCCATCTCTAATAAAATTCTGACATTAGAAATCTCTGAATACTAATATCGATTACGTAGAGTCTTGCTTAGAAGATCAAACTATGCACTAGGCCAATAGCGGTTGTGATCAAGAAATGACACCCCTTGGTGCCAACACCATCAGGCGATACTAGAAAATAAGCATCAAATTATAAAATATTTGATCATGAATTCTAAACATGGCATAAGCAGGCATTTTACTGGTGGTATAGGTAGGCAGTTCTGTTGATGAGGAGTGGATTCTGACCTAAGGTGAGTTTATAGTGCATAGGTAGGCATAGGAAACTCTTTTGTAGCGGTTACGAGTAAATAGAAATAGGCATATCATGAAGTGCAATTTTAGAATAGCGATTTGGCAATCGGTATATCTGGTAATAGTCCATGGAGTCTTGTAAGGAGCAATCTAAAAGGCGAATCAAGGATTTGGCAGTCGGTATATCTGGTAATAGTCCATGGAGTCTTGTAAGGAGCAATCTAAAAGGCGAATCAAGGATTTGGCAGTCTGTATATCTGGTAATAGTCCATGCAGTCTTGTAAGGAGCAATCTAAAAGGCGAATCAAGGATTTGGCAGTCGGTATATCTGGTAATAGTCCATGCAGTCTTGTGCAATCTAAGGATTTGGCATCGGTATATTGGTAAAAGTCTGTAAGCGCAATCAGGCGAATCAAGGATTTGGCAGTCGGTATATCTGGTAATAGTCCATGCAGTCTTGTAAGGAGCAATCTAAAAGGCGAATCAAGGATAAGCAATAGTTCAGGAAGATGTTCAATCTTGGTGGTAATGAATAACATGCGGTCAATGTAGAAAATGGCGAAGGATAATCTTAGTGTGACAGCCAGGCTGTCGCAATCCTACTCCTTTGGAGTCGAAGCTCAGAATGAGTATTAGGGCGTTTCGAAGGCACCTAGAGTTGTGAGGCAAGTGATGGCTGTGAGCCAGTCGTGTTCTTTTCTGCAGAAATATCAGGGTTGGATGAGTTGGTCACTTGGGAACGTAGCTAGACGCCGAGTTAAACACTTTGCAGATACAATTTTAGAATAACACAGTGCTTGTAAATAGTAAATACAACTTGAAAACACAATGCTTGAGGAACATTAATTAAATCTTGGTTAAATGCGGTTAAATATGAGAAAGTAAAAATATATTGGAATATTAACGCAGCAGTCCATATCCCATTTTATATGGGAAAAGAGTCCAAAGAATACGTGCTTTTGTCAGGCGCGTTAATATTGAGGATAAAAATATTAAAAAATATATAAAACATTTATGCATTATATACACACTACCACCACAATGAATTGTGGTGGATAGTTCTCGGTCTTTTAACTACATTCTCCACCATTGGATCATAATAAGTAATCTTAATTGTATCATATAGAGAATTCTTCATTGAGTCAAAGAAATTGTGAGCCGTAATTAAAATTTGATTGTGGTGGGTTCTATATCAAGATCGTAAGGAATTTGTGCATTACGGAGAAACCAGGGAGCGTTCATTATTCATCGAAGTATTTTGTTTTGAAGAACATCAATTTTTAATCTTTCAGTCTTATTTGCGGTCGCCCAGGCGCCGGGACACGTAAAGTAAAATGGACCGTATTAATGAGATGTACAGCATGTTTTAAATTTTCATGTTAAGTTTTGATTTCCTGCCAATTAACGGTTAAATGGCCATAAATGCCGCGCGTTTCCTTTATTAAGAACATAGGAGATAATGGTTTATAAAATTTAACTGTTTGTCTATATACACTCCGAGATATTTGTAAGAGTCTGCAGTGGGAATAATTACATTGTTAATTTTGATATCAGAGTTCACCTGCATTCTGGTTTTGTAACGACGATACAGGACAACACAGCACTTAGCGGCGTTTAGATTTATCTTTTGCACCTGTTTGAAATGATGTTAACATGAAATTGTAGAAAAATTCAAATTACTGCTATCAGAGCTACAGAAAACAATTGATGGACTTACCAGGAATATAGCTACCCATGCGAGTCCGATGTTATCGAAAGAGATTGCCCCTTGGAAAGGATTGCGATCTCCTGCCCGGCAGTGTTTGTAATACTGGTTCCAGTTGACGCAGGATACGTTACTGGGTGCATTGTCACTGAAAGGGACAGCGGAGCCATTGCACTGACGTCCTGCGTACCTTGTCTGGGGCAGATCTGAGCAACGATGTACCCCGTTGTCTTTCTCCAGGCTGCAGATGTAGTCCTTCTCAGCCTCCAGACTCTGGTAATAAGTGGACACTGGGCTGCGAGAGGAGGGAAGCCAATAAACAGATACAGTATTTTACCTGCTTTTATATGGTTCATTTTCTTTCTTTGTTTTTTTGGGGGGAAGGAAGGATTTAGACTGATGCAATGGTAATTGTAGTGTATTGCACGAAAAGGAGTTTTCATGCAAAGAGTGAAAGTTCTTTTTTTCAGATGATTTTAACATGTAATAGAAAATTTAAATGGACAGAACTGACGTCAAATAAAATCTACGAAATAAAACAAGAATTTGGGTAGAGTAGACTTTAAGGTACCCCTTGTATTATGGCGAAGTTGTTTGATTTATCGCCAAGTTGTTGTTTCATTTATGGTAGCCTGAGTAGCTGAATGTTATGGAAATCCTATTGTGGCGTAATCGGGTGCACGATTCTGGGAAATTTTGAATCATGGAATGTTTTGTAAGCGTTTTTGTGGTGTGTGTTGGTTTGATTCTTTAGACGGTAGAATGGCCGACTGTAGTAAGATTAATTTGAAGTTTCTGTACGATTTGGAGCGAAAGGTGAAAAGAGCTTTAATTGACTGGTGTGTAAATGAAGATTTACTTAGTAGCCATTATAAGTGTCCTACATGTAGGAAGGATATGCGTCTAGTCGAACGTAAATCCGTTTAGATGGATTTGAATGGGTTTGTAGGAAGAAAGGTTCAGATGGTCACTATGTGAAGCGTTCGATCAGAAGAGTACCTGTTTGAAAAAGTCATTTGAGAGTATGATGGTATTTTTTTTTACGTGGCTTGGGTGTACGAAGCGAACTCGAAAATAATGGTAAGTGATATTTGCTTTTTGGTAGTGCTTAATGTTTTTTTTTTTTATGTCATTTATTGTTTGGTTAAAGTATTTACTGAAATTATGTTTTTTGTTGCCTATATTGTAGAATTGGTGCTCCTTTGACTTTTTAAGTGAAAATATATCGAAGTGTACATGGATAAAGTAAAGGAGTGCGCAATGCAAGTTTGTGCAATTCTGGGATTTGTTTTAAGTGAAAATAGGTCGAAGTGTACATGGATAAAGTCAAAGAAGTGCGCAATGCCATTTTTGTGCAATTCGGGGATTTTTTTTAAGTGAAAATAAGTCGATGTGTACATGGATACCGAGTTTGTGCAATTGTTTGTCTTGTTATTTTGGCTTTGTGTAGCGGCGATTTTTGGCGCAAAAATCCCCGCTTCGCAAGCCAAAATAACGAGTCAAAGAATTGCACAAAATCAGTATGCATGTACCGCCAAAATTCGCCAAGTTTCGCCAAGGGCTACCCTAAACTATACTTTTACCCAAGAATTTTCCTGAACTGTGAAATTAAGATGCTCTGTTAAATTGTATGCTACATACTACAAATGTAGTACAATATATATCACTGAATTAAAAGATCAAAAGGTAAATTATTTATAAATAAAACATTAGGTATTAACGATTTCTAAAATGCAGTAAACATTACACAGGACTGAGAAATACAATTTTGCTCTTTAAAATAACTAAAGAAGTAATTTAAGGAAACGTATACTAGGTGTACAGCAACTAAGTAACATCTCTCTGATATAGCATAAAGCTACAACGAAAATTTCAAACAGGTAATAAAATTTGACTTTGTACAACAAACACAACAAAGAAATAACAAAAATTAAAACAGTAAAAACCTCTCTTAATTAATGAAAGAAATAAAATAACAGCTCAATCTAACTTTATAATATTCAGTCACAATACTAAAAATAAAAAGATTTGAATAAATAAAAAGAAAAAAGAAATGCCAACTTATTTAATTTATACCAATGCAAATTATGCATTTTTTTCTATTAAGCAATATCAATAATTTACTGAATCAAAAAAGCTCTTTTTACAATATAAAGAATAGTAAATGAATAAGAAAACAAAAAAAAATTAATTTTGTGGGAAAAATAATACAAATATAATTCTAATGAAACAATGCCGGAAGCATTAGTAAGAAAAAAATAAAGAAAACAGAAAAAAATTGTAATTAAAGCAGAAGTAAAAATATTACGAATTTTTTTATTAAGAGGAAATTTTTTTAGAATAATAAGTATAAAAATAATACAAAATCGAAATAAAACCTTATATTTAAGTCCAAAAAATTTATTTATTTAAGGAAAATAATTAATTTTGCTGAAAATTTATGCATTTTCAAGAACACTCAAGTTCTTCATAGTTTCACCCATAAACGTCTTCCTCTTTTTAAAAGGAATAAATTTTTTATATTTCTGAAATAAAAATAAAACCTGAAATAATACTTTTATGAAATTTTAAACGTTAATTCTAAGTTAATGAACATAGTAATGATTATAATAAACCTAAATTTAAATTATTAATAAAATGGCAAACACATGGAGCATTCTATAAGATTTCGCAAAAGTAGCAAAGCCTGAGATTACATTTTTAATAAGATATAGGAAGGCCTTCTAAAGCTGAGTAAATTACACGAAATTAATTAAAATGTGCAGCTATCTACTTTTAAAGGAGACAAAAATGTGCAGATAATTCTAAGGCTAAGCGAATACCGTGTTCCTTAAACAGCAGTTTATGAATAAGCAAAAGTATCTGCAATGGACTGGCGCAGTTTTAAGCTAAGCAAATGTATTTACGTTTTCGTAAAAAACATTAATAATCAATAAAAGAAATTTAGATGTTAAATAAGCCGTACAAGCTGCATAAGCTTTAATAAATTATCTACAAAAGGATAAATTTTTAATTATGGATTTCGACAAGTTTGATCACAAATTTAAGCAAATCGTATTTTTTATTCATAGTAGTACAATAAATAGTAGAACAAGTACAGAGTTATAACAGATTTTTTTTTTAAATTTCTGGTTTGATAGTATAGTTAAATATAAGTCGTTAACTTATGAACTTCAGATAAAATACACAGTGCGTCTACAAAGTTTTAGAACTAATTTTTTCAATAAATTCCATGATGATCGACAGTATACGTTACTATGACATCCCCAATTTAGTTTTCTGAAATATCATTTACTTAACGAGAGAATTTTCTGTACACTTAGTCGTTTGCTTTAATTCATTCTGAACATTCAACTAAACACTCATCATTATTCATTCTAAACATTCAACTAAACACTCATTATTATTCATTCTAAACATTCAACTAAACACTCATCATTATTCATTCTAAACATTCAACTAAACACTCATCATTATTCATTCTAAACATTAAACACTCATCAAACTCATTCATATTCATCTAAACATTCAACTCATCAATTATTCATTCTAAGCAACGAAACAGATATTACTTCTAAACATTAACTAAATCATCTTCATATAAACATTCAACTAAACATCTCAGCATCTAAATCTAAACATTCAAGTAAAACCATCATTTTCATTCTAAACATTCAAGTAAACACTCATCATTATTCATTCTAAACATGAACTAAAACTCTCAAACATTGAACTAAACACCATCATTATTAAACATCAATAACACTATCATTATCATTCATTCAACAGATAATCGTTTGCTTTGATGCAGTGAACATCTGCTGTCAGGGATTCGAAAGGTGAGCAAGCATAAGAAATAATGTTTTGCTCTGAGGCGAGGTAAACAACCACGGAAGACAGCTACAACATATTTGAAATGTTGGTTGTAAAGTGTACGGGAATCAAGCATTAAAACTAACGAAGTAAGATTAAAGTAAACTAACGAAGTAATATTTTTCGTCAGTATAATTGGATCATCATTCGTCAGTATATAGGATGGTTTCGAAATAAACATCAAGATATTGATAATAAACACATTGGTGTTCGCAGCCCCGAACAAATAAGAACGTCGAAAACATTCAACGGTTGTTCAAAAATCATCATCTATCTCTTCGAATAACAGCTTATGAGCTTAACGTCATAACATAACATTGTTCACAAAGCTCTTGCGAGAAATATTGAAGGCAGAAAAATACTGTTGTCGTTTTGTTACTCTTGTACTGACTGAGAGAATTCTGCATGTTATGATCAAATGAAAATGGCAGATATTAATTAATTTGTTTTAGACAAACTAGAGATGGAGATTAAATCTAAAGGCTATGTTTATGTTTTGAGAAAAAAATGGCAGTCATCCTCATGGACTGGAAAAGGTTCACTAAGCTCACAGACATTCGATTTCAGGAATGTTTAGTAATGGCAATGCTATTCCTTTGATAGAAAAGGAGTACTTCAAAAGGGTCTTTGTGTCTAAGACACAAATTATGGATTTCATATTTTAGGAAGACCCAGATACCTGAAGAAAATTCGGGGCATTGTCTAACAAAGTTCACTCGAAGACGTGGTTTCTAAAGCAGGACAATGCACCATCACAAAATTTCACTCCGCTCAGCAGCTCCTAGCAATGAAAAATATATAACCCTTAGCTTCCCCCCTCTTTGCAGTAGATTTGGTAGACTACTTCCTTTCGCTTGAAATGAAGTCTCACTTTAAATGCCTATTTTAAGAACATTGAACATATTCAGGAAATGGCAACCATTCTTCGTTTCAAAGACCTTTGAACGTGCTAAGACTTGCATAAACTTAGAAAAACCATATATACTAAGAATATTATTTTCTACTTCCGATTTTAACTAAGACTAAGACTTTGTATACACTCTGTGTATTTTTAAACAGCTGAATCGCATCGTTTCTCCTAGTGAGTCAAAACAGAACGAAATCCTCAGTTTAAAAATCGAATCCTCAAGTTTTTCAAAGATTTTTAGCTTTTTTTCTAATTTAAGACGACGTTTTGCTCTAAGATGTAATGTAATAAGACACATGTATTTTTCCTTCCTACCATAACATCGTGATGTTGAATAAAAAGTTTACGGATTTAAGTCATCTTAATATTTTTAATTGACTAAAATACGCCAATTATTTATGAGTTAGGCTATGCTTAGTTGTGCCACTTTTGTTCGCAGATTTGGTTACACACGAAAATAATATCTTACATTTCAGACTTTTTTAAGATAATACATCATCACTTAAATTCAAAATACAACCATGACATGTTATTCTAGCTTAAGACAAAAATAAATTTAATACGCTAAAAGTTTCTTCGAAATCAAGAATGTAATACTAAATTTAATTTGACAATATGCTATTATTTAATTATAAATTATTACATGGGTACTAAATACTAATAACTGATACACAGTTAGTTACACTGTAAATACATCACCACGACATTAGGACATGACATTCAAGTGGCACCACCGAAACACCCTCACACATTCACATAGCAAAAGATCACTGCACGTTACGAAGAGTACAGGAAATGTCACAAAGAGGCAATGAACTTACGAATCCTTCCAGATGGGGCATTCGAAGCGAATGGTCTGGATGCTTATTTTACTCTACATTAACTCTGGATGTTTATTTTAGTTTACTTCTTAATAATGATAAGAAAAACGTAATTAATCCTGTAGGGTATTTATTTCAATTAACCAGTTATTTTACGCTCAGATACCGTAATGTCATTTCTCCCTTCCTGCTTTCCTGCTAGAATGCAAATTTTACCTCGCGCGCATTTAAATGAGGAAGAAACAGTATCTAAAAGAAGGTTTTAAACTGCTTTAGTCATAGCCTGTTCCGCCTGCTGACGGCCATGTTTGTCTATCATAAGAAATGCTCTCGCCAATTAGTCTGCAACTGTCTGTTGCCGTAGAAACGAGCCTTGACTCATTTTCCGTAGGGGTGTCTTGAAGCCGAATGATAATAACTCTTTTCCTCTCAACCAACAGTCGCCAAAAACAAAATAACAATAAAGCACCCCTTGGGTCGCTCCTATTTAAAATATACTAGCCTTGTTGCCGTAGCGACCGCCACCTTCCAGACTCTGTGGCGGGCGCTGATCTTCTCGTAGACAGACAGTACTAGTTGAATTTCTACGATAGCATTCTGTCTAGAGTTGCTTTACTGCTGTCACGTCGATGTAGGCTTGAGCCAACGTTCACATTAAATATTTTTGTATAGCCTTTGGCTTACGTAAGATTTGGATTTAGCTTGCATTTGAATTCCTTATTTTAGATTTTACACTATAAATGCTAGCTAGTTTTGTAAGCAGCAGGAGTGTCTTCCATTCAGTTACTTCAGTTCCTAATAAAAGGTGTTCTTTTACACCTTCCTTACGTTTCTGTTTGCATTATAGACATAACGATAATTCGCTTAGCTTTATTTAGAGTCTGAACTTAGCGTAGCCTACTCAAAAGATTGAGACTCTACAAGCCTATAAACTTTCGAAAAATAGTAATAATGAGCTCATGATAAAGTCTGTCAGCTTTCGAAAGCAAGGTAATTTTCATAATTCCCTAAAATTCCATTATGAGTCAGAAAACTAGAAACTTGGATAGAAGAAAAGTTGTTGCAATTTTTATCTGTCTGTACGTTAAAACATAGCCCCTCAAATAAATCACTATCAGTAATATGTCCACGAGTTACAAAACATTTTTTTTCAGCATTAACATTTCGAATACCTGAGCAACAAAAAAAAAATTTTTTTTTCTACTCTGAATTCTGCTTCATTCATTCGAAGATTCGCAAAGATTTTATTTTAGAGATTTCTGTTAGCATGCAAGATTTTTGTTTTCAATGATATTTATTCTCCTTTGTGTAGGTTTTTTCAGTCATTCAGACTTTTCACTTGAAAGCCCCATACTTTGTGTTATGCTATTATAAATATGCCATGCTTTAAAGCACAAAAGGACACAACCCTCAAACACGACATGCTTCGAGGGTTGCTTCCAACAACTAATGATTAATGGAGATTAGTCGGATGCAGAGCCAAGCGTCAAGCTTTCGGAGGTCTCCGCAAGGGGTCGAGTTCCAAAGAAAATTCTCAGTTTGTTTTCCTCCACTCTTGCTGGCTTTTTCATCTCAACTCTTACTTAATTGAAATTTACTCTTGGCGAAAACTATTGGAGTTAGCAGCTATAATGTGAGAAACTTGGAAAGGCATCGGAAGCAATCGCATGGATATTTTTTAAAAAGGCATTTAGATTAGGAATTTATTACTCCGAAATAAAGATTACTCGTACCGAAATGCCTGGAAGATAGTTTCTTAAGGGGACTCATACACCTTAAAACCTTTAAGATGTTCGAATAGGTTACTGTTGCAAGAATTGGGATAACTTATTTATTTTATAAGCAATTACTACCAACTTTTTACAGTTGACTATATAATATAGCTACTTTCTGAAATAGTAATCAGAAAGTTTGTGTTGCTACAAATATTTTTATAATTTAATCAGCTTTGTGACAACATTTTTCGTCCTGTTTCCAACTTGCGCGCACAGTTTAAAACATTCTGTTTCATAAATTAATTCCATATTTAACATACAGCTTTTATAACATTTGGAAACTACTGTGAACCTAAAATTCTTAAAATTTCATGTTAAATTTTTATTTTATTTTGAGTTGAGTTTATAAAATGTATTTTATTAACGAAATTTGTAATGTTTTCGTCCATAAAATTTTTCAATATTAAAATATTCATCAGATTGTTGGTTCAGTTAGAAAATAGTGCCCATATAAATAATTCCACCCAATTTCAAGTATGTACCATTAGCCATTTTTAAAACATCATGCGCGCAAGGTGGAAACAGGGCGAAATATTTTGTCACAAAGCAGATTAAATTACAAAAATATTTGTGGCAACACAAACTTTCTGGTTACTAGTTTCCAAAGCAGCTATACTATGTAGTCAGCTGTAAGAAGTTGGAAGTAATTGCTTTTAAAATAAATAAAATATCCCAATTCTTGCAACAGTCACATATTCGAAGATCATGAGGGGTTTAAGGTGTATGAGTCCCCTTAACGGAAGACGGTTTCTAAGAAAAACTGGCTTGCATTTACTGCATATATAGATAAAATAACGAGAAGATGCATACGTCTAGTTTATTTTGTTGTTGAAGTCTTTTAGACTGGACTGGATTAATTTTAATAATCGATTTTGGGGAAAAGAAATGTTCGATGACTATGCCCATCTGGAAGTGGGCATGGTCGTTCGATGTTCGATGACCATGTTCGATGACGATGACGATGTTCAATGTTCGATGTTCGATGACGATGTTCGATGAAATGTTCGATGACCATGCCCACCTGCAAGTGGGCATCGACAATCAAAGAATTTGACAACTTTCAATTTTAAACATGTTATTTTATGTTACAGAGCAATTGAAAATGGGATCATACTGAAGGCCATAGACCATAGTACTGATAATTCCGTGGAAATTATTTTTAATGGTCGTAATGGAGGTCTATGGACGTGAGAAAAATTCTAGTAGTATTTCTGTACTTTCCATTGGTGTTCAGAAAATATCAAGCGAATTTTAAGAATGCTGTTTTATTAATCTGGACTTACGATTAAACATAACAGATCATATGTATTGCTTTTGTATCAGGTATAATGCTTTTAAGAATAGAACTGAGAGTGGAGTCAAGCAAACTGAGGTGCTAGGAACTGGCGACCCACGTTAAAGGTTTTGCTTACATGCGCTGATCAACACAAAAATGGACGTAATGGCTTACTTAAGCACTTTCACCCTCTCGTAGTAAATCGGCGATAAATACCTGGAAAGAAAATGGCGGTTAAACATCACACAGCACTCCCTTTCTTTCGTTCTCTTTCATACACACTCTCGGGGACAATGAAATAAAACATGAAAATGAAATTAATATACAACTATGCTCACATTCTGCATATTTGAAATATAATATATTAGATTTGCTAATGTAGAATAGTTACTGAAAGAATTATCTAAAGTATCTGTTAGAAGAATGAAGTATTTTGTATTATAAATGATAAAAAAGTCAACAATTTATTCATTTTTGAGTGTTCCTTTCATTGTTTAAAGTTTAGTTGGAGAGATTTTGTTGACCCTTTTCTTTGATTGGTATGGACCTATCCTCGTCGACAGGATATCAGAAGATCGCAGTTAATGCTGATCGCTACTGAGAAATCTTTGAATATTTGAGGAAGAAGACTGAAGGCAATTAACCCTGAATGCTGTCTTAAGACATTATTATTTTGCAGGAAAACGGCAACCACAACAGTAGATCGCTCCTGAGAAATCTTTGAATATTTGAGGAAGAAGACTGAAGGCAATTTACCCTGAATGCTGTTTCCCTCTGGGCGGCCAGGGTTTTCTCTAAGAAAGCACAAATTTCCCAAAACTACTATGAGAACAAATTATTTTTTTGATTTTAATGTAAAAACTGTACTGGTATTTCATACCTGGATTTGTTTTCTTTTGATATATTGCCTTAATTTCGTTGACATATTTTAATATGCACGTATATATATGTTCTTACAGGTATCACAATAAATATTCTAGGCCGTATATATACGGCCTTGCCGCTTAGAGGGTTAAGACATTATTATTTTGCAGGAAAACGGCAACCACAACAGTAGGCGCCTAGCCAAAAATCTTAACTCTTCGCCCTGTGATTTTCCACATTTTTGGCCCAATTAAAATGGCCCAAAAGGAGAAAGCTCTTTGCTTCGGACATTGAGCTAAAGTGCATTTTCTTCATGGTTTACAGCGAGCCAAAAGAATTTTACAGAAAACGAACTGAAGGTCTCTTTGATCTACAAGATGGTTAACTCAATAACCAGGTAGCATTTGCCAAATAAAACCACTTCTGCAATCACAAAGAGTAACGTTCACTTATTTGCAAAACAAATTATACGGCTTTAAAATGAAATTCGAAAAGAGAATCAACTTAAAATGCTAAAAAGTATCACATTTTAAAATGATGAGATGTATATTGTAGTTATATAAATGAACTTCAAGCATAGAGTTCCTATTTATTTAGTGTTAAATGACTTTAGATTGAAAGTTTATTCTCCTAGTTGGAAAAAAGTCAGCTTTCTGGCTATGGTGTGCAATAATCTTTTATTTGTGAAATCACAAATAAGAATAACTTGTATTTACTACACCACATTCACCACCAGTAACTTCGGGGCTCATAACCTGATTTGTGAGAACATTCTTGAATTAATTTCAATAAATTTACACTCACAAGTTAAATAAAACATAAACGGAGTTCTGCATTCTCATATTTACATTTGAGATATTCGAAATGAGTTTTACATTTATGTAGATACATAAAAGAGAATATAATAATAAATATATATTGCTTTCATAGTTATGCCTTCTAGCCATATTGACGGGAGTTCTAGACTTTTTCCATTTTCGTATCATTTCAAAATTTTATAAAATATGTACTGTTTCATACAGATATTCAGTAAAAAAAGAAGACAACATTTAAATATATTTTAAAAGTTCAAACATGTGATCAGAAATTAAATAATGCTTTGCAAATGCCGAAAATTGTAATAAGTTTAATTCATAAACAGATAAAATGCTGTATATATATATATATACAGATGTAAAATTCGAGTCCACTGAAGATTACTGGCATTTTATAAGAATTTATATTTTAACCTTTTATACTAAAGTAATGGGATTATTACGAAAATCATAAAAATCTATATTCAAAATATAGAAGGATGCATATCTGGAATATTATTATAATAATAAGTTTATTTCATAGACTGTAATGAATTCATCATAAAAATACTGTATTTAATTTTTATAATATATTAATTCATTTGTTTGAGTTTTTTAAAGTATTCCAACAAGGTAAAATTTCAAACAATTTCACTAAAGTAGTAAATAATTTAAAAATAGAAACAAAATCAAGAAGTTAAATCAAATATTGTCATATTTTACAGACATGTCTTTATAAAAGGATATTTGAAGCAAATTTTCTATTCAGAAAACTTTCTTAAATTCTTAAAAGTTAAATTTTAGACACTTGAATTCAAATGCATTGCTTCTAAAATATTTTTTTTATTCGCTAATAAACTTTTTGCATAGATATTACAGTTTGTAATTAAATCGCAAGTGCATATTAAGAAATAATTATTAGCCTACTTTTACGAAAACATCCTTCATTTGTTACAGGTTGTACAGAAAAAGGTATTTCCTTATTAAAACGGCCACCGCGGTTAACCCTCAAAAGTGACAAATGTAATCGCCAAACTGCTAGTTAACTACTTATTTGTCGTCAAAATGCGCCAAAGGTACATGCAAGGCCGCTTTACTAAGAATGTAGTACAATAAATCTCATTTCTAAGGCAATAAAGTCATACCCGGGAAGCGATACATTTGGCGGTAATTCAATGTAACAACGCTGCCGAAGCAGTCCGGCCCAGAGCTGAACACCGACAATTCCAAAAATGAAGAAGACGAAGAAACACAGGAGAAGCACATTACCCAACATGGGCAGGGTATCAAGAAGCAACATCACTAGTATCCTCATACCTGAAAAGAGAAACTGAATTTAAACATTCAAAATATCATACCATTCACTATATTCACTTCAGTGTTTACATTAGTCAGTCTAGTTTCATACGTTTTTTTTAAAAATAAATACACGAGTGAGGTTATTAATATTTTCCGAATTAATTTGCGGAATTATTTGCCAAACTTGTTTCTTATTAGAGTATACCAGAGGTTTCAAACTAAGCTTAATACACTGCATGATTTTAAAGTTTGGTAAATTTTTACTTTGGATTGATTTTAGTTAATAGATTTTAGTTAATAGATTTTAGTTATGAATTTCGAGGAAGTTTCCTACACAACTAATATCAGTAAAGCCCAAGTATGATATGTAATTATATCAATAATTTTTTCCCTTAAAGATGAGATATGTAATTCTGTTTCTTCAAGGAGAGGGATTTAGAGAGCCTTCATCCAAGTGTCAAATGTTTTTCTATAAAACCTGTCCACTAATGCCCAAATGATTACTACAGTTAAATGCTGCTAGTTCAGTCAGGTTCTGAATCCCAGTTAACGCTTCCACCCTCCCTCCAAAAATTCCTCGATAACATCATCCCTTTCATTTGGTAAAAATCTTCCATGTGCTTCGGCAAAATTCAATCAATCCAATCGAATTTGTAGTTGTTACCAATCTCACTTGTCTGACAAAGGTGAGAACCAGCCCACGGTGGTTGCAAGGAGTCAAATGCACCTGTCATTGGCAAGAGCCTTGAACACTATATGGGTTGGCAGCCTATTTTAGCTCAGTTCTAACCCCCTTCCCCCCAATTTCGAGGGAGAGCACCCCGGGGAGCGTACTGGCAAACCGCACATTGAGTTGATCAATGTTAAACGAATTTCGCTTACTGCGCATGCCCAAAAGAGAATTTGGCGCAGTTACTACTTTTGGCGCAATTTTAAAAGAAGATAAGTACGGTATATGGTCGATATTGTGTTATTTTGGCCGTAAGCAGTTCGAGGTTTCAAAACGTGTCAGGTTGTAAGCTGCTTCATTACTTGAAGAGTAAATGTCGATTGTAAGCTACCCAAATTTTCTTTTAAAAAGGACTACAGAACAGGAAACATTACACGATATATTAGCTGATTATACTTCTGAGGAATCAAAACAATTGAGTATTTACCATACGTTCCATTCATATATAATACTTTAACAAATTAAGGATTAAATCTAGTTTAAATTACTGAACTAAAGGTCAAATAAATTATTGTAAGTATATGAAATAGACTGTTGCAATTGTAAACAGTCGATAAGACCTACATGACGAACAGGCTTGTGTAGGGTTACTTATGCTTAGTCGCCGTATTTTCTCCCACGCCAGCAGTACACCATTGAGCATGCGCAGTAAGCGAAATTCGTTAACATTGATCAAATCAATGTGCGGTTTGCCATTAAGCCCCCGGGGAAGGGACGTGTTCGAGGATCTTCCACCAATGTTACCCTACCACTGACCTCTCGAGAGGACTTTCGGCTCATCGAATAGTTAGAGTCCATGCGACTTCCGCGGGATTCGAACTTAGGCCTTTCGAACTTAGGCAGTCAGCGTCGCTGATTCCTGTCCCGGTTGGGCGGCTCAATCCAGTCTAGTTCCGCTTAGCCGCGACAAATGCATAAACCTAATCTGGATTATGTTAAGATAAGGAAAATTCTAATAGCAATATCTACATCTAGTAATATAACAGAATAAGTATATTTAATAATTAGTAGTTGCCCAGACGGTATAGTGTCTAGGACAGCCTACCACAGTACCCAAGGGCCCGGTCTTGAATCCTGGAGAAGACATGGATGTTTGCAAATGTAAAGTGTCGGTGCGGAACGGCGGCACTCTAAATATGCGGCGAGCCGAAAGTCCTCTCGTGAGGATTGGTGGAAGGGGAGACCAACGGATCCCCCCCGGGGGTGCTCTCTCTCAAAATTGGGGCTGGAAAATAGAAGTCCAACCTCTCTTTGCAGTAGGCTCTGGAAACCATTCTTCCATATAATATGGACAAGACAACAACAACAGCAATAATTAGTAAAGTAGACAGACTAACTAGAGTGGAATGATAAATTTCAGAAGGTAAAATATTCTTCAAACATCTTAAGAAACTTTCCATATTTCCATAAGCCGAACTAATGAACCAGACAGTAACTAAAACACCGAGCCATGACATCATTTTTAAAATCGACATAAAAACCACAGAAAACTTCGATGAATGGATGAAACTAGATACGTCACACATTTTTCCTTAAAAAATCAACCTAGGGGAGAAATCAAGCCACCGGAGAGACCTAAATTAATAAAAGAAAAACTTTTGAAAAGTAAAGAACTATTTGAAACAAAGAGACGGTAATAGAAAATGCATTAACTAGGAAGGGGTAAGCAATCCGTTCTGAAAGCAAAAACGGATGGTGGGGGGTGAGAAAGAGATCAGATGTTTCACTCGTCCGAAACGCTGAAGGAATCAGATCAAATGACTTTGCTGTTGTTCACAGTGGCGCCTGCTTCGGATAGGTGTTTTTAAAAAAAGAATTCCGTTATCAATTCACCAGCTACTACACCTTTTTTCTCTTTTTCCCTTTTTTAAAGAGCGTTAATGACCCTGCATTGATCACGGCGAAATAGCTTTTCAAGAAAGAAACTTCAGTGGTTTCGAAATAATTCTCGCCGTCAAGGTAGAGAATTTTGTTGTCGTTTCCAGGCTGAAAGAAAAATAAAATGTTTTGCAGCTCAGAGCAACGGTTTTAAAAATAGGGAACACAAGCTGTCTATAACGAGTAAATGAATATTTGGTTTGTATTTTGTGTTATGATAAGAATTAAAATACCCAAAGAGCAACTGCAAAGTCTTAGGACTAATTGTTTTCTAACAAGTTCCAGCAAAACTGCCAAACGATATTTGACAGCATTTACTACTATGACATCTCAGTTTTTCATTTCGTGGAATACGATCAAAAGTTTCTATGCAGTTAGTTATTTACTTTGATCCAATGAACATTTGATGTTATGGATTCAAAATCTGAGCTTTCTGAATGTCATGATTTTATCTACATGGGAGACTAATGATATATTTTTTTTTCCAAATTGTGACTGGAAATGAAACGTGTACTTTTCTTATCATCTGAGATCTGAGACAAAAAGGAAATCTTTTACTTGGATGAAGGTTTATCATGGCCACAGAAACGTGAGGTTTAGAAATCTAGAGAAAAGGTTACATTGTTTTCTTTTGATTGGTAAATGTTCGCTGTATTTCAGAGATAAGCTATGAATACCATATTTTACAAAGAAGGAAACGGCAAATTTCCGAACAGAATTTAGCATGCTAGGCTTGATAAAGCTTAATGGAGTAGCTGACTTCTGCTTCGCGACAATGTGCCAGAGACTTCGATAATATTCTGAAATATGAGTTCTACGGAGAATCTTGCCTATCGTTGTATAGATTTAAAAGACTGTATATTGAAGTTAAAATTAGGAATGTTACATTCGTGAGCTTTCGATTTTGTGCAAACTTAGTCCTGAAACTTTGTAGGCATGTAGTGTATGCGTAATATGTCCGGAAATTTCTGTTTCATAATTTATTTTGTTGATTTATGTAAATATTCATAAATCATATATACACACTTCCGCAGAGAAGGCCATAGAGGCCTTTAAGATTTTAGATACTTAAAATTTTACCTTTTTTTATTTAAATTGATTCTTTTTGAAAATTTTTCTATACTTCCATTTATACCAGTATATTTCTGTTAGTTTCATCTGCACTAGTTTACATGATTCTGTTGCTTTTTTATAAGACTTCAGATTATTGATACCATACAATTCTATTATATACAAGTTCTAATTCTGATTTGCCTTAGTTACCCGTTCAGCAATATTAGTTTCGTCCACCGGTTTTACGGGGATTTGACCTGCACAAAGACCCGTACGAGCCTGTATGGGAGCCTGTACCGGGGTGCATATCACTGAGTTTACTCGTATACTAATTTCTTTTATGATATTTTTAATCATCTAAACCAGCCGTTCTCAACCTTTTGATTAATGCGTACCATTTAAACAAACCACAACTAGCACCACCACTCGTAAACAAAGCTCAGATCGCATGAATTTACGAGTGTTAAAAAAACTCAATCAAGACGTTGGGGTTTTAATTTTTGAATTTTATAGTTAAGAACACTTTGCTTCTTTGCGTACTACCTATTTTTCTCCTGCGTGCCACCTGTTGAGAACCTCTGATCTAAACGAAATATTTATTTAGCAGAGAAAGTTTACTACTCTGTACAAAATTAACAGAATTTTCCTATTCGTTCGATTGCCTCAAGAATTTAAATGCAGAGTTTAATGAAACTTGGTATGGACACAAGTTCATTTAATACAAAAATGTATAGCTCCAGCAGTCCCAGTACGCATTCAAGATCGTGTGAACAAAATCGTGCTAATGGGTAGGCTTGGGCTCTAAATTGAGGTTACAAGATAGAACAAAGAAGGAGGCTCATAAGCTGTGGAAACATAGAGGACAGCCGAAACGACCTGGCCGCAGAAGTAGATATATGACCATGAAGTGGAAACTCCTGTCCGGCTGTAAAAGAGGTTATCCAGCAAATTCGACCCAATGCAGACGGCAGTTCTGATGCGATCCTTCAACTCGGGAATGGTGGCACAACGTGTTCGGAAAACTTCTTGCTTCAGGTGGTCCCAAAGGAAAACGTCTGCAGATGAAAGATCAGGTGAGCGAGGCGGCTAGGAAATGACACCAAAACGGGAAATTACTTTACCTGGAAATAGTGATGGGCAACTTCGGTACTTTCTTGTACCCGGTACGAGAGTAACGGGTACAGACAAGTACCCGGTACAAAATACCCGTTACTCAAGTAACCGTTACATTGAAAAGTACCGAAAACCGATTTCAAGTACCGAGTACCCAAGTAACGATTTGGAGTACCGAAGTAACGAAATACCGGAGTAACGGTTTGCTGTACCGGAGTACAATAGTAACGGTTTGCTGTACCGG